CATGTGTGCCAATTAAATTAAGCTGTGAAAACATGGAGCTTGTTTGTAACCTATAAACAAGAAGAGATCAGGTCTAAAAGATTTTCCCCTACAAACTCTCCTATTCTCCTTGAAGTACCACTCTGCTTCAGAAATACAAAGAGAAATACAGAAATTAACAGAGAATGCAAAGAAATGCAGTATTAACAGTCTGTATAAACAAAATTGAGTCTAAACACAATTTTCCCCACTTTCAGGAGTTTGATTCAGTAGTTATTAAAAGCACTTACGACATGCCATAAAACAAGAGCACCCAGACAGGACAGAAAGCTGCTGCAAATCTACTTCCCATCACCAAATGCTGTCGCCATGCAGCTAAGTGTCTTAATGACCAAAGGAAAAGTGAAGGTTTGTCACACAGGTGACTTGGCTCAATGCTGTTCATTCTGGATTATTTGCATCTCCATTACACTGAGCTGAGACATGCAGTCAGAGTGTCTCCAAAAATATCTCTATGGCTTTGTTTGCTTTCTTCTTCCTCTGTAAAAGCGTAACCATATGCTAAGTTTAGTGGGTGTTTTTAGTTGTTTCCTAGTTTGGAGTTTATTTAAATGTTAAAAAAAATAGGTTTGATTGCAAACCAGTAACAGACAGACATAATTCTAGTCAAGTCAGCATAAAGCAGGTACAAATTAGCATGAGCACTGTGCAGAACAGCCTCAGGTACCCCAGTTTCAAGATCATATGGTACACTTATTTCCCAAGCACTGTGAACTTTGGAGTACTATTACCAGAGAATAACACTTCTTTTAGAAAACAATTTAGACAAAACCATACTTTTAACTTCTGATTTTATGCCTGTTCTCTACAAAATAAAGGCAAGCTTTCTGTGAAGAGAACTGTTTTGAAACACGCAACAGCTTAACCATGTTTTTTACATTAGACCTCCCAAAGTCAAAATTCATTCTCCTGAAATTCTCACCCCACTATTTTCTGCTTTTCAAAATGCTCTTCAAAAACTTCAATTTGCATTTGGAATCATCTACATTCATAAAGCAAATTAAGAAAACCCCAAAACAACAAAAAAACAACCCACACCTCAAAGCTGGGCTTACACTTTTTTTTTTTTTTTTAAACCATGAGCCCACAGTGCAGATACCCAAACCATGAGCAGTACAAATCAAAGCCTCTGAACACCTGGTGTGCATTACCTACATATTTTTATGTAATATGTCACTACCTCCCAATGCCCCACCTCTCAGCTTTCTGCTCCATTAGTGACCAAAGAAGATGCTTTTTCCCTTCCTGATATCTTCCAAAACTGAAAATACAACCAATGACTTGCTGGCCAGGAATTATGAATCCCACAAGCTCATCCCCCGCCCTCGTGATCCAGCCTGAATGGGAAGGTTAATGACTTGATGAGCGCTCACAGACAGCTCACTGCAGTGCCACAACAAACCTTTGTAGGAATTGCTACGAGCCAGCAAACTGTGTCCTGACCCTTGCAAAAATCACCAGCTCTGCATGGGACAGTGCACACCGAGCCTGAGAGAGCAGCAATGAATGAACCCAAAGGCTCTTCGAGTTTACAGGGATGACATTACATTCCACTCCTTTGCTCAGGACATTCCAAGCTGCCACGGGACCTGCCTAGGAGGTACTGCAGAATATTGGCCACTGCCCAGCAGCCCTCATGGTCAATTCTAGAAGCAGGGTGGCCCAGAGGTGGCTGGATCTCATGCTTCTGGACTGCCCTTCCATTCACACAAATTAATTCAGAGAACACTGCTTCCAGAATACCAAGGAGGGATGCACGAGTAGAGTGAGAGCTCTCTTGGCATCCGATTCAAATCACAGCTTCTTGCAAGGAACTATTTTTAAGTTTTGTATCAATCTGCTTGAGAAAGGTTCCTTCTGCTGCCTACAAATGTGCAAACTCCCCCTTCGAAGAAACACAGCTCAGGACAGAAAGATCCAGCCTTTCACTTCCAACCTAATCAAATATTTCATGACCAAAGCATTGCACAACACAACACTCCTGCAGAGCATGTCCTGGTGATCCCCACCTGAGCATTCAGGAGTCCTGATTACAGGTAGCACACAATCACCCACGAAACAACCCACACTGAAGCAGTCTGCTTCAGGAAGCATTGCTGCTCTTACCACTGCAACAGGCACAGAACTGCAATAGGAGATTGAGGGAAAAAAGGGGAAAAGTGAGATGCAGTAAGTGCAGAGATGCAGTAAGTGCAGAGATGCAGTAAGTGCAGAGATGCTGAGCGTGACCTGCCCAGTGAGGTGAAACCATTGTGCCCTGGGTTATCACAAGTTCCTGTATGAAGGCATTGTTCGAGCTTAAGAGGTCTGTGAGAAAAAAAAAAATCAAGCAACAGCAGTACACAATGGATGCAGATAAGCAAGCTCTGAACAAAGCCCTGGGCGACTGCAAGACAACGGGAAAACTTATTAGCTGCAAGCATCCTATATCCTGTCTCCAATAAAGCAACACGGATGTTCTGCTAATGCAGGGTGTGAAAAGATGAAGAGAGCACTAAGCGGCTATTGAGCCCTGCACAGGAGAGAGGGTCAGTGTTCAGCAGCCATGGGGCACAAAGACATCCACGGGATGGGCATGAAAAGCCTCTTAACAGGTCTGACAATGGAACATCTCTCCTGTCACCGGCGTGGGAGGCCATGAGGCCCTCAACACCGGTGCAAACAGGGCTTTGCAAGGCCAGCTCTGGCCCAAGAACAGAATGACCATTGTTCCAGAGTTTAGTCACCAGGATAGTTATCTCCACCGGGAAATGCATGGAACACACAGAGGCTGCAGAGCTGGGGACCACACCTCTCCACTGCACAGCAGAAACGGTTCTGCCCAGGCAGAGCCACTAGATCCGTGGGTCTGGAGAAGGAAGTGCTCTGAGACCCCTTCTTGTCTGAGAAGTGGGGTGCAGAAACAGTCCCATCATCCACCCCTGGCCAAGTGCTCTGCATAGTCAGACCTCTCCTCCTGTGTACTTCCCACAGGCAGAGCTGTCTGCCCTCCATGAGGCTTTCCCAAGCTCAAAAAAATCTGTTCCCTGGAAAATTCAGGCCATTTAACTAGCACACACTGGGCATCTGCTACTGTGTCAAGAGAAAACTGCAACAAGAACATTATTTAACAGCCAGTTACATAGGGAACACTCCAAGTTGTGGAAGATCATACCCTATTGCCTTGTCTTTGGGGGGGTTTTTGCCTCCTTCACATGGTGCTCCCAATCCCATTCCCTACTGCAGAAGTGGAGAAGAGTTTGCTCACACCAGTGGGTGGGATTTGAACCCCAGCTGCCCATGGGCTTGGTCCTGCACATCCTCCCAGCCCCAGCTGTGCAGAGAGGGGCTGGCACAGAGAGCCTGGGTGTGCTGCAGACACTGCACCGCACACAGCACATGTGGGGAAGTGTCACACCCTGGGTGACAGTGGACTACAGCACAGCTCAGAGCCGAGCCAAGCTGGGTGGCTGCACAGGGGACACCTCCTTAAGACACAGCAAACATCAGGCAAGTTCTGCAAGGGCCACAAAACTACCCTACACAGCAGGACAGACTTCCTTTCTGTTCACAAATAAATGCTATAAAATGTGAACATGTTCATCTCTTCGTTAAAAGTATCTGCACTGCCCCTGGCTACAATTCAAAAGTTTCAAGGGCATAAAGAACAAGACTTTTTTCCCTTCCATACAAAAAATGTTTGTCTCTCGCTGTCAGCAAACCAGCAATGTAAATGAACATTTGAAAGTCACTGTATAACTAAGAGTCATTGCATACAATCAGATTAAAAAGAGACAACCGAACGCAAACAGAAAACTTGAGCTTCTTGGTAAAAGAGAACAGAAGTGAAAACATGAAGAAGCCACTAACAGGAATGAAATGGGCAAACCAGTGTTAGACAGATCCAGCCCCGGTATGAACCTGCGCACACACAATTCCACCAGTTCTGTTACTCATTATGCTCATAAAAATAAACCCAAATCTTTTCAAGCAACAGTTGAAGTTCAAGGGAAAACATTTAAACTTGTAAAATTTACCAGACTCTTTCTAGAAATTTAAACAGGTTAATTACTCTGATCAAAACATTAAACAATGTCAAGACTTCTCAAACACTATCTGTTATCCATATTGGCTCAGAGTTTTTACCATCCTATTAAAAACAAGTTAGAGAGGAATCATACTTCTGGGAAAAAGGAAATGAATGTTCCTTTCCCAAGAACCACAGTGAAGCAACCCTGGAAAGAGATGCCCAACCCCCCAGCCTACGAGCCCCTGACTCCCCATCCTGACCCACAATCCAAGTCTCTGGTAAATTTTGAGGGTCACCCCTGGAGCTCCAGCAGTGACAAGCTACCAAGAGCCATTTACTGCCTCCAAAATCGACTCAGCAAGGATGAGCACCAGCCACGAGGCTGAGCCATAGCTCCAACAGGCCTGGCAGACCCATTGTGTTTGCATGTCCCTCAGAGAAAGCATTTCCCAACGCCCATTTCTGGGAGCGCAAATATTTTGGCTGCTCCTCATCTACAGGATACCATTAGAGTGCATCTGCCACTCTGTCTCCAGGAAATGCACATAAAGCTGATTCATTATCTTAAAATGCTGCCTTCATTTCTGCTCATTAAAAGCACATTTGAGATCTGTGCGCCGAAGGCATGGCTGATGTGCTCCGGACACTCAAGCACTGGGTTTCAGTTCTCTTCTCATTTCAGTTTCATTTACTGCCCACAACCTGCATTCTCCATTTCAGGGAGAGCTATCACTGGAAAATGCCCCGGATGAAATCCTGTCTCTCCCTGGCGCTCCAGGCAGTCACACCCCACACCAGACTCAGCCTAGATTTCGGGAGCTGCATCCCGCACCGGCAGCATCCTCCTTGCAGAAACAGAGGAATAAACAGCTGTTCTGCACATCCCACACCCCCAGGAAGAGGAGGAAAAGCAAGTGAGCTAAGGTAATGCACGCGTTAAGGCAGTCCTCACCTTTAGGGAGTCAAAGCAGGCAATAACTCGACCGTTTTCCACATGGCAACTCCGCGACGGGTGGGCGAACTTGCACTCTGCATCAGACCGAGAACAAGTCCCTCTCTGGAACTCTCGACACACTTCTAACGTCAGCCATTTTGTATCACGAACCAGGGACACGTTTACAGCCATATTAAAAAAAAAAACAAAAATCAAAACGCAAGCGATCTCACCCTTCCTCAGGGCAGACTGCTGCTGATCCGATCTCACCCTTCCTCAGGGCAGACTGTTTGCTGCTGATCTTTTTTTTTTTCTTTTTCTCTTCTTTTGTTTTTTTTCTTAAAAAAAGGGTAAAAAAGTGAATTCAAGTTAAACGTGAAGAAATAACTAACTTGTTGCTTTGGTAGAACTCCTATTCATCAGCACTTAGGTTTTCATTTAAGTCAAATCGTGTTTCTTTAAACAAGAATGAAACATAAAGCCAATCATAAAATAGAAATCTTATCAGAACAACTGAAAATCAAATTAGAGGCCAGCTCCTAAAAGTGCAATTGTAGAAGTTAAAATACAAGTGTTATATTTTGTGCCACTGCCAAAGTTACTTGCAAATAACTGGCAGACTTTCAAAAGAATTCTGTGCTCTCCAGTTAATGGTTTCAATTATTCTTGCAAAAAGCATATGCTGCTGGCAGCACTTCAGTTTGTGGAATGGTCTCGGTCCTTGGGGAGAAAACTTCGGGGTGTTTTGTTTTTTTTCCTTCTATTTCTTGCTTCTAAAAATCACGGCTCGCGAGCATCAAACCAGGCAAAAGGATGTCTGATTCTTTTTTTCCTCTTTCTTTCTTTTCTTTTAAATATTTGCTACATAGTCG